AAATCAGGTATGGAAATAATTAAATATAATGCATAACCTCAATTTGCAGGGAACACAGTTCTTAAAACATCTTGGGTCAATCGGTATTGATACTATCATTTAAGGGTCCAGGGGTAGAGTTAAGAATTAATCCAGATGAATGAGCTTGAGAAAATAAATAAAATGGGAATATAGAATTTTTCAAGTCATAGCCTCCCTGGTAAATGGGACCAGGTTGTAACATGATGGTCCTTGTATTCTCTCAAAGACACAGAGCTCCTGAGGGCATTAGGGATCTGCCAGCTGACTTTGACTCAGGAACTCCTGGGACTTTGTGAAAACTCTGAGTAGGACTTTAAGAGGACTGTTGAGGTCACTGTGGGAGGCAGTTGCTCTGTGAAGAGGCCATGCATCTGCTGTTAGAAATCCTAGGTCAGATTCTCTTACAGGTCTTCTATTAATAAAACAATTGCTTTAATAATAATAATACAGATATTAGGCCCAAAGCAGGCCAATGCTCTGGCTAGAGGAAACAAGCTGATATGCTGAGTAGAAGAAGGAGGTAGAGAGAAGCTCAGGAAGACTAAGAACTCCACTGTTGAAACTTCCTTTTAATTGCAATGAACACATTAGATAGAAAGGTAAGAGCCATTGAGTTGGTTCTGACTCACAGTGATCTCCTATAGGGTTTCTGAGGAGCAGCTGGTGGGTTTGAACTGCCACCTTCGTGGTTCGCAGTGCAGTGCTTATCCTATAACACCACACTAGGTGTCCAATGAACACTTTAGATCCGTATCAGCATATCAATGTAATGGACAGAAGGAGTTTGCATTCTGTTTCCAAGGAGCGGCTGATGAGTTTGAACTGCCAACCTTGTGTTTCAAAACGACCTTGCAGTCCTGTGCTTTATCCCACAGCACCACACCAGTATCTAGCCTGGAGGGGAAGGTGCTGGTAACTTTGCAGCTGGACTGGTCTTGTCAGGAACCCCTCAAAGTCAAGGTCCTGGTCAAGCTCACTCACTTGTCCAATGATCAAACCTGTTTTTTTAAGAGCAGCAATGCAGAACACTGCCTGCATGGGCAGTAGGGAAAACTCCCTCCCGCTCCCATTTTAAAGTGGTGATTAGTGGATTCTCTCTTTGAAGTGAAAAGTACAGAAGTTATTCTCAAGAGCTGGCACCTTCCTCAGGCAGTCTGGGCAATGCTGGATCCCTTGACCATCTGAAATATCCTTCCAGCAGACAGTGTAGGAATTTGGGTTCCCTTACTCTTAGTAGGAATTTCTGCTGGTGCAAATGGTCAATGCATTCAACTGCTACGTGAAAGGTTGAGGTTCAAGACCACCCAGAGACATCAAAAGAAAGGCCTGTAATCTACTTCAAAAATAATAGCCATTGAAAACCCTCTGGAGCACCTGGGGGCTCCATGACTCCAGTCTATTCATTGTCAGCTGCTTTTTTCCCTCTCTCTCTCTCTCTTTTTTTTTTGTGTGTGTGCACTTAACTAAATAATGAAAGGAATCCTGGTGTGGTGCTGTAGAATAAGCTCTGAATCACAAGGTTGGTTTGAACAGCAAGGTTGGCAGTTCAAACCTACCAGCTAGGTGCTCCTTGGAAACCCTATACAGGGTTGCTATGAATCAGAACCAACTCAATGGCACTTAACAACAAATAAGGAAAGGAGTCCTGATATGGTGCTGTAGTAACCACTGGACTGTTAACCGCAAAGTTGGTGGTTCAAACCCACCAGCTTCTTCTCAGAAACTATAGAGTCGCTATGAGTTGAAACTGACTTGACAGTACTTAAAACAACAACAACAACAACAACAAATAAGGAAAATGTGATGTCTGACTTTTGCCTAACAAGCCTACTTTACAAACTCAACATGTGCCCTGTTTCTCTAAGATCTAGAGAGGAGGAGTTGGAGAGAAACAGCCACCTAATGGGGAGGTAGAACTCAACCAGCAGCACCTCATTTTTGCCTGGTTATCTCTGCAACAAAAATGTGAGGAAAATGCTTTATGTTCTCTCCTACCAGCACCTGTCACTTCTTACAAGCACCATGAAATAAAAGACATCTGTGTCTGGCAGCACGCCTCAGGGTGCATCTGAGAATATATTTGTTTGTTTTTCTAAACCAAGTTGGAATCAGGGCTGAAGAGAGGCTGTTCTGATGCCCAATGTACAGAGACATGAACAGTTCAATGAGCTAGAACGCTCCCTCTGGAGAGAGACCAGCGCTTGGGAACATGCTGGTTCTCATTCAGCCCTTTTCTGAATCTTTGTGGGGGGCAAATTGGTAAAGGAAGAAACTTGATAAATTAGGACAAAGCCCCAACTTTTGGCAAAACTTTCTCCTCACAGAGTCTGAAAACCTCCGAAGCTGGGTCTTCATGAGGTCAAACCTTAATATAAAAGAAGTAGAAAGGTAATTTCAAGAAACTGTCTAATGCCCAGATTTCATTTCTATATGGGTCATTAATATCATGTAGATCAAGCTGGATGAATAAGTTAACAAAACAAAACAAAACAAAAAATGCTTAACTTCACCTTTTGAAAAAACAATACTTTTTCAGAGAGCTGTGTGGCGATGAAGCAACGGTCTGCGTATCCAACACAGGATTTACACCAGCGTGCAGTTTCTTCTGCAGAAGAATGGTTCCACCATTTTATGCCATACCTTCCAGGTCCCCATCTCATGATGCAAAATAAAACCCCCAAAATGAACCCATTGCTCTGGAGTCGTTCTGACTCATCGAGACCCGATAGGACGGAATAGAAATGTACCAGAAGGTTTCCAAGCTTGCCTATCTTTACAGGAGAAGAATGCCACATCTTTCTCCTGCAGAGCAGCAGCTGCTGGGTTTGAACCACTGTACCACTAGGACTCCTTTCCTTTATGGTGCCATCCCTTTAAAAGTCAGTATTTACTGTGTTCACTTTTCTGAGTTCAATTTGATTTTCTTATGTAATGTCCACAGGGTGTAAAAATTATTACTTAGAATCCCATTATGGAGAATTCCACCCAGCCACTCTCCAATAGGAGTCTGGTGTGGCACTGAGAGTTAATGTGCTAGACTGCAAGGTAGGTTTGAACAGCAAGGTCCGCAGTTCAAGCTCACTGGTCACTCCTTGGAAACCCTATCCAGAGTCACTATGAATTGGAACTGACTCAACAGCACTTAGCTCCATTGGAGAAAGGGATGACATTAGAGGGAAGTTAGCAAGTTGGAGAATGAATTTCTCTGACTCAGTGTCCAATCTATGAGTTAGAGAAAAAGGTTAACTCTATGTAGGATTAAAAATAAATATATATTTTTTCCCTCATACTTTCTTTATCTTGGTGAAGGCGTTCTTTACAAGTCTGGAACACAGCAGGCACTTAGCAAATGTTTATTCTTTCTCACTCTGGTAATTAAAACAAAACATTGTAACCTTCCAGAGGAGAAAAATTGGAAAGCCAAAAATAAACCTTTAATAACTATGCAATGGCCATCGTGTTTCTAATTATATTCCTCTTAGCATAAGAATAAGCCTTTTGCAAATATATAAGTACCAAAGTTTATTACTGCTTACTGGAGTGGGAGAGACGGGGGCAGAGGGAGTCATTGCTTTGGGGGCACTGTGCTTCTTTGAAAGGTGATGGAGAAGTCAGAAGATGGATAATGGTGATGGTTATACAACATGGTGAATGTAGTTAATGTCACTGAGTTGTACATGCAAAGATGTTGAAATGGCAAATGTTTGTGAGATAACAGGACTTCAAAGAGCTCATGGAAAAGTTGAATTTAAAAGATCATGGAATTTTTCCAGGAACTTTTTGAAGGCCCCTTGTATATACTTACCACAATTTAGAAGAAAAAAATGAAAAACAAAAAACAAACAACCTTTTTGATCTTTTAGCATCTCTACTAGGATCAGATCTCTCACCACATGTTTAATTTTACTGACTTGTCTAGTACTGCTTCCAAATGTGTTTAGAAGATAGTGTGCATATATATGTATATGTGTACAGAATATGTATACATGCATATATATATACATATTTATGTATAAAATCAATTGCCATGGAGTTAACTCTGACTCATGGCAACTCAGTGTGTTTCAGATTAAAACTGTGCTCCACGGTTTGGCTGTGATCTTTCAGAAGTAGATTACCAGGCCTTTCTTCCAAGGTGCCTCAGGTTGGGTTCAAACTGCCAACCTTCTGGTTAGCACCTGAGTACTGAACTGTTTGTTATATATACACATATATAATATCAATAAAAGAAGTACCTCAAAGCATTAAGAAGAGAAGGCTTTAGCCCTCACTAATTTTTACTTTATTTTATAACAGATACTCAGAATGTGGACTACTCAGATTCACACAGGTAAGAGACTCCACCTCTGTCCTCCTCATCTCATGGAACACACAATATCACTTCTCATGACGGAGTGAGTGAGAACGGAGTCGGGGGGCATGGGTGTTTTCTGTACCTGTCTCTTCTAATCAAATCACTTCCACAGCAGGTCCTGTTGAAGTGGCTAAGCCTAGCCACTTGTTTACATCATCGCCCAGCTAACCTTGGGAAGATATCTTTGCCAGGGCATCATTCCCCACTGAGTTGGTTAAAAAACTACAACACTATCCCCCACAAAGTTGCAAAGGAAAGTAAACAAAGGCCATTTGAATTTGCACCCCCTCCATCTAATTCTCTTTTACGTTCTTAGTCATTCTGTTTTCTAACCTGGGATATTGGGACTGCCTGACCTAGTAAAATAAAGTAGAGGGCTATTTTTGGATCCCAAACTACTTTTCTCCCGAAGATGTGGGCATCTCAGACTGAGATTTTAGAGTTAGGAATTACCCAGATCATGATAGAATTGAAATCAACTTTCTGCATAATTTGGGCCCTGGCCACACAATGCACATAAATGATCTTTGAGCCAAGTTAGTCTAGAACCTAGCCACCTTATAGAGTAAAGCTTGTGGTTGTTGGTTTGTTTGTTTGTTTAAAAGGTAAAAATGTCGTCTCTTACGGTCCGTTGTGATTTCGTAGGGAGAGTTGAGTCTCGCGTCTCCACAAGGGGATGTGCTCACGTAGAGATGGAACAGAAGGTTTTCTTTCAGCTTGTAGCCGCCCTCTTTTAACCGCACAAATATTGATCGCTCTGAGTCCTCTCGCCGTTTGCTATGAACCAAACCAGAAACATTCCAGCTAAGTGAATGTTTTTGTCTTGTGTCTAGTTGTTGCCCATGGTTTTTTCTTCTCCACATTCCATATTGTGTTTTCCCCTTGCAATAAAACTTCCAGAATATTTATTCAGCAATGAAACCACAAAATGCAAACGAGAGTTGCAGAAATTCTGTTATTGTTACTCTTCCTTAACATTGACATTGAACCTATCTTTCATAGTCAGTTTTCTCAGATGATATTAACCTGTATCTATATACTTATAAAATTACAATCCCGTGAATTCACAAAATGTTCCTGCTGGCATGATCTGACAGTGGTCTGTTAATTTTACAGAGCATCAGTAGGAAAATGTTTATATATTAAAAGGAGAGAAGGGACTTTAAATAAAAGGTGGCTGGATTTGACAGTAGAATGAGAAGGTGAAAATAGCACCAAGTAAGGGATCTAAATACATGGATCTTTGCTTTCCTTCTGTATCCAACTGTGACCAAAAGTACATGCTTAAAAAACCCAGCCCTCTTCTTCTAATTTTTGGTGGCTACAGACGTCTTATCCTTGGAAAACCTTCCCATTAGAGTCAAAGATGAGAAGTCCCACCTTAGACTGAGGCGAGAAAACAAACTTACCGGTATTTCCTCCCTTCCAAATTCCACTTTTATTCTCAGTTATTACAGGCAATAGACTAAATTTTTTTTTGCCACTCTTTCTGTTTCTACACAGTTCTGCCCCATCGATGATGGATTCTGTTTTGCTGGGACCTGAGATCACACAGGCAGTAGAAAAGACATTTTTCTCCCTAGGAAACCCTTGAGGCATCTTACCATGTCTTTCTGCATCTGTGCCTTTGCCCCTTCTGCTGGAGCCCCTGTTCCTCATTGTAACTCTCAGAACACCTTCTCCCTACAAATACCTTCTGGAGAGGTGCCAAACCCACCACGAACCTGCCAAGTGACTGTTCTCCTGTTTTCTACATCCCCAGCCTGTCCACAGTTTCAAGTTATACTTGAACCTCTCTGACGACTTGGACCATGGTCTCTCTTCGGCTGCCTTTTTGACCACTGCTGGTCACCCCCCTGCAGAACAAGGTTTGGGATTCATTTTCTTTGAATTCTCCACAACATGCGCAACATAGGCATAGTGTCTTGTGCACAGAGAACTTGTGATAAATGTTGGCCTCATTACATTTATGACATAGATGAAAGTTAAGGATAGTTTGAAAGATTTCCAATTGAGCAGTTGGATTTTCAAGCGAGATGTTTCCCTACATTCTGAACAACTTCCAACTCCATTTCCTTACATCCAACCAGACCACACTTTTGGCAGGTTTCCAGGAATGAATGGGGGGCAATATCCTAGGCTGCTGCTCATTGCTCAGAGGTTTCGATAAAAATTAACCGAGTGTATTATGGTTTTGCTTTTATTGAGTCTGTTCGGTATATGTTCGGGGCTTTCTTCCCTTCGTGTGACCTCTGCACATGCTAATAGGAATGACTGAGAACTCACTAAATCCTCACCAAGACTCCATTAGTAGTGGATTTGAGGAACATTGCTTTAAAGGATCTAAGATATGAAAGGCTGGCTAGGAAGACACAATGAAGAGAAGTTTCTGGCAAAGAGACAGATGCACAACAATGAAATCATTATGATTTAACAGCATAGTCCAGGAGTGCATCTGAGATGTTATAGGCTCAAATCCACCTCTTTTTCTGCTCCTGTTGAATATGTCTGAAAGAGAGATGCTGGCCCAGGTGACAGTCTGCTTCTTACAGATGTTTGGAGCACATTGCCACCAGAACACTGGGAGTTTCCATATTAAGAGGACAGTTCTTAGGGGCTCAAGGACTCTTCATTGGAAAACACTCTGAGTAAAATCCAAATACTTATGGAGGAGGGAACAAGGAATAGATAAAAATTTAAAATCCGTCATTAGCCATTTTGGTAATATTATCTGAGGACAAGGGTTTAGAGAATGGAACACATTAGGGAATATGGAGATGAAGGGAGAAGTGAGGAGTTTTAAAAATATGGACCTTGATCCAAGTAGGAAAACAGCTGGAAGATAATAGAACACTTTACCTATTTGTCATATACGCTTAGATGTCATTGCTAAGGGGCACAAGAATAGTGAGCTTTCATGCATTCTAGTGGGAATGAACCCTGTAGTTCTGGGAAGAGGCTTGGAGAGAAGAAACAAAATGGTTGCCTAGCATTGTGAGAGACAGCCCGGTTGCTAGTGCCGAAATCATTCACTCTGTAAGAGATTTGCTTGGTTGAGAAATTCTCCAGACAAGAAGCTTAAAAGGGAAAGAGAAGAGGTTGCTAAGCCTTCCACCTTCCTGTAAACCCACTGTTCGCAGGGTCAGAAAGCACACAACCTCGTGGTAATATTGAACTGTGGTCCTACTTGAAGTGCCCATAATTTCATCAAAATTGAACATAGATGTCAATGTCAAGTTGGCACTTTTCCATGGCTAAAACGAAAGTTCACCAGGGAGCAGGTAACATTAATCCAAATAACAAAATACTCTAACTGAATACACTTCCAAGCTTGATCAATGCTATTATGCAGTCAGAGAGAGAGCAATAGCTTTCATCTCCCACAAGACAGTAAGGTTCCTCCCACCCCCCATGTTGGTTCTTCCTTTCCTTATTTCTTTCTTCTTTCTTCTTCTTCATCTTCATCTTTGTCTTCTTCTTCAACAGCAGGCTAGCTCTGGGGTTAATAACTGGAGGGCTGGTAGTGGGTAGAATATTGTCTTCATTTAAACCCACAGTAAAGGAAGCAGAGTTTAACCCAGAAGTAGGTTGACTGCTCCCTTTTGAGGGGCATCTTTGTATTCCTCTAGCCAATTCTACAGACTTTTCCCCAGTCTCACTTGTATTTAGAATATGAGTCATGAACTAGAGAAGTACTTTGGCTGCAAATTGACAATGTATAAAATAGGTTGTCAATCTTCTTTCTTAATAATAAATTTCCTTTATTCTCTAGAAGGCATTTCTCAGCCTCATAAAGAAAGAACTTTGGCTACCTGCTTAAATTTTTATTTGTGGAATGCTGAATTCATAGTAAAATCTCACCCTTCCAAGATCCCCTGAGTACATTAATAGAAAATAATAGGAAATATTATTTAATGGAATGAGTATGTGACAAGATGTGTCAGTATGTGTGTATGGGAGTGTGTGTACATGCCTTGAAAATTGTCGGCAGCAATAATTCATAGGCAAGCAGAGTGTTTACTGGAGAGAGAAATGACAATAATGAGGAAGATGCCTGGTATTTCAATATTTTACTTGTCTGCATAGCAACACTGTCAGTGCATAAGAGAGTGTCAATTGTCTGAATAAAAACTTAAGCTTTATGGCTCATAGCTATTTACCATATGTAGAAAAACTGCCAGGATAAAAGAGAAGCTACCTTCTGAGTTGATTATGAGGCAACTCTTGTTTCACCTAGATACTGGCTGCTCATCAACTAAGATGCATAAATATAGCTCTAAAAGAGCCATGGGCTTGGATGTCCAGAGAGCAGGTTTATTGCCCTCGCCCCATGGAATACCATAAAGTTCATCTAAGTCAACAACAGTGTCTCAGTAACCTAGTGCTGCTATAACATAAACAAACAAGTGAGTGGCTTTAAAGGACAGAAATTTATTTTCTTCACAGTTCTGGAGGCCAAAAGTCCAGAAGTCAGGGCTCTAGGGAAAGTCCTTGTTTGGCTATGTAGCTTCTAGTCGCTGCCAGCAATCCTCGATGTTCCTGGGATTATAGGTGCATCTGCCTCTGCTATCTGCCTTCCTCGCCCTCTAAGAATGTGAGCATCGGATCTGCTTTTTTTTTAGAACTCAGACATGAATAGGTTTAGGACCCAACCTACACTGACTGCTCTGATCTCATTTTCACAACAAAGGAAAACTTTATTTCCAAATAGGATCCTATCCACAAGCATAAGGCCCAGGATTTCAGTACATATTTTGGGAAGTGTGAGGGATACAAGTCAACCCATTACAAGCAGTGATCTGTTTACCTTAGGTGCAGCTCCAGCTGTGTGTAGAGGAAGTAAATGAATGCTCTCCTTGCCACGATTTCTGCATGGCAGTCATTGACCACCAGTCCTTGGTCATTGATATACTCGCCACTGATGCACTTGGTGCCTGATGACAGAGCGATGACCTGAGCTTGCCTGACATCCAAGCCTGGGAGAGACACACAGAGAAAGGTGTTTAAAATAGCATGTGAGCTACACTGCCCCCTTGAGGTAGCCCCTATCCCCTTCCCTGAGGTACGTGCTCACCCCTTGGCCTTGAACCTAATCCCTCTCATCCAGGTACTTTTAAACCACTGCAGGTGGTCATGCTAATTCTCCAACAAAAACATGCCTAGGGGTTTACATTTTAATGGGAAACTGATGTTAGAGGCTGAAGTAAACAATAGTTTGCTGCTTCATGGAGGCGTGCTTATGAACTATGGAAGAAGGTACCTTTTGGAGGATGCTGTTTCTACCTTGCTCATGATGTAGCTTTTCTTATGACACTACCAGAACAGGCAATTACACTGAGAGCTCTCATTCTGAAAATTCTCCTCATTTCTCCAAAACAAGATAAACATGATTATCCTTTGTCATTGTTGTATGTGGTAGAGTCAGATCCAACTCACAGGGATCCTTTATAGAGTTTCTGAGAGCAGCTAGTCAGTTATGAGTCCAGTGCTTATCCTACAGTGTCACACCAGAGTTCAAGAGTAACTCATCCCTGTGTTGTTGTTAAGTGTTTTTGTTAAGTGCAGTTCGGACTCATTGTTGTTGTTGTTAAGTGCCATTGAGTGGATTCTGACCCATAGCAACCCTGTATAGGGTTTCCAAGAAGCAGCTGGTGAGTTTGAACCACTGACCTTGCCGTTCAAATGACTTTGCAGTCTGATGCATTAGCCTACAGCACTATACCAGGACTCATAGTGACCTATAATACAGGGTTTCTGAGGAGCGTCTGGTAGATTTGAACCGCTGATCTTGTGGTTAGCAGTTTAGTGTCTAGCTGTATTTTAGGTACTGATAAATTTGATGGATGCGATAATGTACATTTCTTCTAGTTTTTATAAAGCCTTGGGAAATGGGAAGTGTGATGGAGAAAGTGGTGGTGACTTGCCACCAAGGAAATGACAGAGGGGCAACCTGCCAAAGTTCTAGACCTAAAGGGCAAGGAAGACTCTAGTGCCTGTGTCTTCAGCAAGGATCTTCTGTGGAGATTCTAAAGAAGAAGGTGAAATGGGTGGTACCCATACAAATGATTAATGTGCTTGACTTATTTGAAAAGTAGATTCGAGGCCACCCAAAGTTTCCTCAGAAGAAAGTCTTGTCTCTCTGCTTCAGAAAAATCAGCCATTGAAAACCCTATGAAGAAGCATAGCTCTGCTCTGGCACACATGGGGTCACCTTGAGTAGCAGTGGACTCAACCCAACAGCTTCCAACTGGTTTTCCAAACCACCTCTCCCCCAGAAATTCGGATACTTTCTCCTTTGCCCTCTAAGTTGAAAACTAGTTTAATTGTTAGATATCACTGATAGGACTATGCTATCATTAAAAAACAGTTGAGGAAGGTTGTGCCCTTCCCTACTGTCTGGTCGCCATTGGCCAATAGGGCATAATTTGAGGTTTAAGGCAAGCTATCTATATAACCTTGATACCTAAGAGTTCATTTCAGTTTGACTCCCTGCAGAAATTTTGCTTTTTCAGAATCAGAATCCCTGGGGATCTTGTTAAAATGTAGATTCTGATTCAAAATATCTCAGGCTGGAAAAGTAAAATTCTCAGTAGGGGATCAAACCAGAACTGATTTGAAGCATTACTTGAGTCATACAAATGGTCCACTTGCTTCGCTTTGCTGCATGCAAGACTCCCCAGGCCAAAGAGTATACAGATGGTTGTCCCTTAAAAACCATCTGAGCCTTCTACGATCCACAGAATCCACAAGATCAGTTTAATCCATGTGACCAAGTTCATCTAGAGCTTTGTGACTTTAAAGAATCCTCTATCTGAAGTCATATAAGATCTAGGTAATTTATTCCATAGGGTGCACTTTCATTCAGTCCAGAGACACTTGCTTTTCCGATTTACTTGCCTTAACGGGGCTTTGCCCCAAAGCTTGAACAAATCTCCAAATCTGTAGAATTCAAGGTTCAGTGATTTAGAAGAGTTGGAGGCACAATGTATGATACACACAGCAATCTGTACCTAAGAGCACTTGTAAAAGCGGAACACTGGCTATGAGGGCTGCCGCTGTGCAGCCCTGAAGAGGCGTTAAAGGCTTATTGATCCAATGGCAGGGACGGCTCCACTTGAGTTGTAGCAGAATGCCTTACCAAGCACGTTCCTTTTCAGAAGGACATTTCACAGATTGATGCTGGGGACAGAGGAGTGTCTTGATGGGCCACGGGTCCCTCCCCCAAATTATTCTAGTTCAGCCTTATCTCATCAGCAGCAAGTGACCACGCAGCAGGCAAACCTGAATTCCTGGGTGACAGCTGTAATCAGTTATTACACAGACATCCACTGCACCGCATCCCCAACTGAACATTTAGCAGAGAAGTGATGAACGCAGGCAGCCTCAGGTGAACGAGCGGCCTCTGTGTTTGGAATCGCAAGCAGCTTGCGGTGGGCACAGCTTCTCCTCTCCAAGACAGAAATGCTTTACTCTGGGCTTACTACACACCTTTTCTTAGACATTGACTTTACCTGAGCCTCATTTCAGGGGCCATTATTTTAGGAGTTATATATTTATGCTGTGGCTTTTATACTTCCAGAAAGTTATATTTATGGAAGAACAGTGTGCTATGTTGTAAATCAACAGCACTGAAAATGAGCCTGGTATTCTGGTTTAAAATCACATGGTTATTTCTTTCCTCTTCTGGTGTGGCACTGTGGGTTAATGCGCTGGACTGTAAGGTCAGTTTGAACTGCAAGGTTGGTGGTTCAAGCTCATCAGCCGCTCCTCGGAAACCCTATAGAGGGTCTCTATGAGTCGGAACCAAATCGACGGCACTTAACAACAACAACAAAGAACTTCAGAAGACAGGGAGGATAAATGGTGGGCAATAATTCTTTTCATTTTATGCTGCTCTTCTCATCTTGTTGCTGTTGTGTTGTTAAGTGCTGTTGAGTTGGTTCTGACTCATAGAGACCCTGTATAGGGTTTCCGAGTGGCTGGTGGGTTTGAACTCCTGACAGTTTGGTTAGGAGACCAGTGCTTATCCTAAAGCACCATACCAGGACATCTCATCATCATTGTTGTTGTTGTTAAGTGCTGTCGAGTCAGTTCCAACCCATAGCGACCCTGTATAGGGTTTCCGAGGAGCAGCTGGTGAGCTTGAACCATCGACTTTGCAGTTTAGTGCATTAACTCACAGTCTCAAATTCTTGATCAACTCTGGAGCATGCACAGACCCATCCCACAATCCCCTTGTTTTTTTTCAATCTTTCCTGTGGCTTTTACTACGGTTAGACATCAACTGACTCGTAGGGTTTAGAGAACCTCGAACACAATGTATTTTTGTAAATTTGTTTTGAAAATTAGGAAAGTAGACCTCCATTTGGCTCTAGCCATCAAATGTGACCAACTGAGAGAACTCTAGCAGCTCTTTCAGAAACAGTCTTGGATAAACTTGTAAAGTGTCTCAAGGGATTACTATTTTTTAATGCTCCTGTACACATGGTAGTTGAAAAAAAAACTATTGATAATAACATAAAAAGGACATGGAAGCTTCAAGTGTGACTTTTCACAGGATGATGTTTAATTTTAGCCTAGTCCAAAGAATCTCCTTAATCAAAATATATATTCTCTGCAAATATTAAAAATAAAATCAAATGAAACCTCAAAAACAAGTCCCAAACTTATTGTCTTTGTCGTATTAACCACCTTTGTTTAAGGAGACTGTAAGAGATCTTGGGAGTCCCTGAGTGGTGTAAATGGCTAATTTACTCAGCTGTTAACCAAAAGGTGGGAGGTTTGAGTACCCCCAGAGGTGCCTCAAAAGAAAGGCCTGGCAATCTAAATTTGAGAAAACAAAAAAACAAAAAACGACCACTGAAAACCCTACAGAGCACAGTTCTATTCGGACAAAAATGAACTTGCAAGTTGGAGTCTGAACCCAAGTGGAAGAGAACAAACACAATTCAAAGTTTATTCTTTCTGCTGCTCTAGTAAAGCTTCCCGAGCTCTATACGTATTTATACTTTGTCTTTATTTAGATTGTGAACTCCTTAAAGATACCAGGATTTTCACAACATATCCTAAGGGCCTCAAAGGGAGGGCACAGAATAAAGCAGATTGCCTAGGACAATTTAACAAGTATGAAGGGTCTTCAGAACATTTCTGGACAAATTGCATTATCTTTTAATTCCATTTTCCCATAAACTTTTTTGTATGCTTGAGCTAATAAACTTCCTGTAGTGGGCAGTTTTAGGTCTCTATTGCTCCTTCCATTTCAAGCCTGCTTCTTCCCCTACTAGTGGTACCCCCTAAGGATCCCTAGATAACATTCACTAGTATCTGTGCTCAGTAGGCTCTGGAAAGGATGCTCCAGGCACTTTCAAAGAACAGGGACTGCTTTTTCTACAGACACCTGGGAAGCTGGCCTGAGTCTCCTGTAATCACCCATGTCTGCAAATTCTGTTTCTAGGACCAGCCCATTTTCTAAGCAGTGCAAATGGAAGTCATGTGACTAGGGGTTGAACAATCAATTACTATTGTACATTTCAGTAGCTGTCTGCTGGTCACTGGGTTCTAGATTCTGTGCTGTCTGTGGTCAGTGCATGTTTGAAAATTTAGCAGTCAATCACACTCCATGTTCTTGAGTTCTCTTCTTAAAACCATTAATATGGAAAGTAAGGGCACATGAAAGAGAACCTTCTAGCTTTTATAATACTTACTTTCCTAAAGGCCAAAGTGCTGGCCATATCATAAGTACTTGATACTTGCTGATTTAGCATGAACATTTCTACCTGAACTCGAAAGCCTTTATGACATCTTCCTTCATTCTCCAACACACATTGTTTGGACTGTTCTTTATAAGATAAAAAAGGGAGAATAGAAAGAAAGAAGGGAAGAATAAATGGCTGCAAATTAAACCAGAAGGAAGAATGACAACTGAGGGAGGAAAGGAAGGGTTTCAGCAAACATATACATACTCATTAGAATACAG